GTCAAAATGGCGCTTACGACAATCTTTTACCCAGGCGACGAAATAAATGGTGAGTGTCGATCCTATTCTCGCGGGTTTTTCCAAGACTTGGCGTATTGTGAATAACGGATCTATAATGAATTTGCCAGCGCTCGAATCGTCACATACGATATCGTATTACTCGTCACGTAAAAACACATTTTTCGGATTATGACATAGGTGAACGTACTCTTTATCCCATTCAGGTTATACGACTGACGTATCACGTAATTTTCTTTCGTATAGTTTTCGATCCGTGAACAGATGTTACGATTCGAGCCCAGGTCTAAAGCCCCAATGATAAATCCATCTAGTTCGTTGACGGTGGGCTTCAGTCTTTCACACATTCACTCGATAAGACCTTGTAAACTATGCTTCGAAGGCTGATCCCGCGGTAGTTGGCGCGTATGGCGGGGTCGCCTTTCTTGTAGATTGGGCAGAACACACTTAAATTCCAGTCGTCGGCGGGCCGTCAGCTCCAGTAGCGTTAATGTGTTTCAGCCGCGTAATCGGTATTCATTCCTCGTCATAGTCAGGCAGCGGGACACCGACTCCATCGTCATCGACTGGGGGCTCCGGTTCGTGTTCTCCACTACTGCCAGTCAGGGTGGAAAAGTGTTCCCTCCATAATTTAAGAACATTCTGGCGGCCGCTGTGGAGTAGTGGTAAGCAGTGCGCGCTTTTACTTCGCAGGGCCTGGGTTCAAGCCCTGGTAAAAGCAAAAAAGCAACATCGCAACAAAAAAAAACACAAAAATGTAGAAAAAAGATTTTTCCTAACCTCCGAGTATATTTCTGCCACGAAAAACAGCTTCTCATAAAAATACAAACGCCGTTCAGAGTCGGCGTAAAATTTTGGGTCCCTCCCATTTGTGTGACAACATCAAGGCGCACGCCACAAATCAGAGGAGAAGCTCGCCCAAACACTAACATATGTGTAAGCGCCAATTATTATTATTCAGTCTCTAGGTCGCCATTCAGTAAATCGTCTAACTTTCTCAAAAAATATTCGGGCGTTTTTCCTGTTGGCCAGCATTACAAGCTCTTCGCACTCACGTATTTCGGCCTCTCTCTTCTTAATGCGGCAAATACGTCTCGCTTCCCTCTTCAGTTCCCTACAACGGTCCGACATGGCTCGCGTTCGCAGCGTGGCCTTGTAGGCGGCATCTTTTTTCTCTGCAGCTTCCTGGCACTCCTCATCGTACCAATTGTTCTTTCGCGCTCGCTGAAATCCGACTGTTTCTTCGGTGGCGGTACTTAATGAGCGAGAAACGTGGCTCCACTGATCGCGTATGTCGATTTGTTGAAGAGTGCTCTCAGATAGCAGGTGTGTGAGACGAGTGGCGAATAAATTGGCCGTCTGTTGTGATTGCAGCTTTTCGATGTTAAGCTTTCCTTGCATTGTTGAGCGCATATTTTTTGCTGCACAGAGGGTGGGTGCGTATCTTGGCTGCAACTAAGGGCTATTTTCACCAACTCTGGTTAACACTAATCGCCAGTTAAACATCGTTACCGATGGTACTGACTCCATTCATTTAGCATTGGGTAGGTAACGATGTTCAACTGGGGATAAATGTTAGCCCGAAATGGTGAAAACGTCCCTAAGTGTTGTGTCTGCAAACAAAAATCAGCTGTTCCTTTTGGCCGCGTACTTGGGTTTACACAAGTAAATTTTGCAGATACAATGGCAACACATTCACCCTTTTTTAATATATATTCACACTTCTATCGATGTTTTCATCATTGCTATTGGTTTTTCGAAGACAGTTGATTGTCTGGACACCTACTTTACTCAAACAATGTGACAACTAATACGTATTCTCAATTGTCTTGTCTTGTGTAAATGCAAGGTTATACAACTGTCAGCATTGCCGTACTTACTTGCGTCAAAAGATGAGTGTTGGCCAACGTTCGTTGGGTCCGTCGACGCAAGGATTGCCAATCTCTTAGTTAGTTATTTTCATCCTTGAGTGGAACGTACGCAAAGTACATATTCTGACGAGGCCATTCGTCGCTGTCGTCAAGCTCAACCAACGGAAGGCTCGGCAAGGATGCCAGTCAGACTGGGTTGGACCAGGGGAAGAGAAGCGTTAGTTCAGCGGGGTTCAGTGGGCACGGAAAGAGGTGTGTGAGATGACTCTTCGCCTGCCGGACATACGTTGGGCACATCTGAGTTTACCCTGCTGCAGTATCCAGAGCGGAGTTTTGTAAACAACTCTTTCTTTTATTCGCTTTTGTCTTTATTTTTATTCGTTTTTTTATATGAAACGAAAATGCTCAACTAACCTCATAATAGAAAAATTTGATGAGTTCAAGAAGACTAAAAGGCAATTTTCAAGTAACGAAAGGTAAATTGGCAAATAAAACGAAGTAAAAGCTTCTACTTTCACAACTTACAAAATTTAATATGTCCGCCGTTCTGATGAAGCACCAAAGATGGGAATCAATTGTCCAACAACAGTGAGTTGGTTTTAAAAGCTGGAACGGAAGCATCCATAGGGAGCATAATTACAAAATTAATCATTATGCAGAAGGTTCGTGAAATTGCTGCTGAACCATCCAACCTCAAATCAGCAATGATGAAAATCGATAAGAAGCTGAGCGCATTAGAAAAATTGCAAGGAGAAAATGAGGAGCAAAATAAAAAACGCCCATCTCATGATGCCAACACGTTAATGCGAATGCGTTGGTGTCTGTCTACAGATATAATTAAGTATGAAATCCCGCAAATAGCTAATGAAAGCTTAGTTTCATTGTTCTCTCAGCTTTGTAAGACAATCAAATTGGCTCTATTTACCATCCGCTCAGGTTTTCGCATGCGCCAGAAAAGCAGTGCAAATCTATTTACTATTATCTTCAAGTTTATTCTTATATGACCCCCACCTTTGTTCAAAGCGAATTATTATTACATTTGAAACATATGGTTAAACGAAATATATCACGCGGACGAAAGCTAGTACATGCATACATATATACTATAAGTGAATAAATATTATAAAGCTAACTTCGAAACGAAAAACCCTACACCACCGCACGTTTTAATTAAAACATAAACACGACTTACCAGTAATTTTGTGAACCTCAGATACAGAGGGTGATTCACGCATAGCATCGGCCAAATCCTCCTTCAGTCTAGAATCCCCATGCGATACGGCAAAATCAGAATCCAAGTGATCGTGATGAAAACGATCCATAAGCTTAGGACTTTGCTCTATACTACCTAATGATTGAATTTTATGAACCAAAAAAAAAAAAAAAATCGATTCAACTTAAAATAAGTTGTCTACGTACTGTAAGAACCCGATTCGATGAGGACCGGCAAGGAGCAGCGCGCTGTAGCAGTGGCTGGCATACTTAATGGGTGCGATCGCATAGCTGCAGCTGTAGGCGTAGGCTTGGTTACCCCAATTTCCACGGCCTCGACATCGACATGATTCAAATTAGACCTAAAATTCACAGTTGATTATTCAGTTTCAGTTTTTGAAAGATTTAGGTAAGAGACCCGCTGGGTGTGTTGTAGGTTTTGAACACGCATTGTGGCCCCATCCAAAGGCGACGATGTGGTCCGGCGTGTGTTATTATTTCTACTTGTGATACCCAACTCTCAGTTTTTTCCTCCACGTCATCAAAATTATGTATACTATCCAACATTAAACAGGAATATCGATCCTTCATTAACCAATTATCATTTGTTAATGGTGGCATCAATTCATGAGATCCATCCCTTCGTCTACCAAGATTCCATTGCGCTTTAGCTTCCACTTCCAATTCAATTGGAGTGTCATCACAAATTTTTTCTTTGGCTATATCTATCAAAAAATATCCTATCTTAGTATTATATACTTAATGAAGAAAAACAATATATATGTATATTACTTGATGCAAGTTTCGTATCCAAATCGTATTGAATTAGAGCACCATGGCCAGCCATGACGAAAAGCGAATCAACTGCCTTGCGCTGAATCCGATGTGATGCTTCCCGAGTGACATTTGGTGGTTCAAGTAACCAAGAACGAGATTTTGCAAAAATAGCACATACACTCAAAGGTTTTCCATTGTCATCTGACAACGAAGAGTGTCTTTGTCGCTGTGAGGCGCTAGATGTACCACCAGTAGTCACACCGATTTTACCGTGCATAGCAAGCCCGGCAGATCCAGGAGGAGAACCGAGCGCAAATGGCTGTCGTAGCTGAGCCAAAGCCAAAACAATTGTAGGACGTGGAAATGGTGGGAGTGTCGTATTGTGGTACGGTTGCAGTGATTGCATAAAAGTCGTACTTTCCGAATGAGAAATTGGAGAATTTGATCGTCCATCTGCTGACAAGCCCGCAGAACGATGAAACCGGGACAGTTTATTAACAACATGTAACGAAGTATGTGTCCGCACACCCATTGGACCACCGTACGGTGTTATTGGGAAGACGTGAGTAGTTCCACGCAAAGTTGAAACCGCTACCCATCTTGAGTCCAGAGAAAATGCTATATTTTGAACCTTTGCACTGGTGTCGCCCCTATGTAATACATACAGATGATGTACCGCTGACAAACTAGCGCTTACTGGATGTGGTTGTATACGGAAAACATGGAAATCATGACCGCGCCTGTCTGCAGTTAACAACAACATGCCTGAGTTGTCGAACTCCATAGCCACAACAGCTTCTGAGTGGGCGATAAAATGAGCTACAATGGATTCATTGTCGATAACGCCAGTGCTGGATGTTGTTGAGTTGGGACTGTAGTCTTTATTGATTTGCTGAGAGAAAAAATTAAAAGCGCAAAAATATTACAAAAACTATGTACATAAAGTATTTTGCAGAAAAATAGAAACAAATTCTCAAACATTTTTGATCGCCATTTTAAAAATTAGTGCGCCTGAGCCATACTACATACGCATTTTAAATGTCTTTCGATTTACTTCTTATTGCTTTCATGCTGCGGATATCTCAATCTCAACATTCATTTTCATTTTCATTAAGTTAATCTTTACCCTAAACCGCTTAAGCACGTTTCGATAGTTCAGTATAAAGGCGGCAAGAAAGAGAGATCGAAGGGAGAAACCGAGAGTGATGGCAGAGAGAGAGAGAGAGAGAGAGTGGAGGAAGAGAGAGATACTTTCGTTGCTCGCCTTGTTAAATTATTTTCGTGACGAGGAAGTTCAATTTCAAAAAATATGCACTATTACAAATTTGGATTCAAGATTATGAGATAGCTTGCTACACTAATGTATTATTAAATATGGCGATCGATATTGTATGAGCATTTGGGTGTGTACGATTCGTTAATGCAATGTTTAACCTCCATATCCATTATAGTAACAATGCCCGGTTGTTTGGCTTCGACGCCAGTGCTGGAATCGAAACTACTATTTTTTGATAAGCTGCCACTGCCAGATGTTCCCGTCAAACCTGCTGCCACTTGCTCACCAAGCTCTCGCAATCCTTTACCAAACGACTTTGCGGCATTTAGTACAGTTGCTGTATAGCTGGCTATGCCCTCGCCATCCCAGCCGCCACCACTGCGTTTTGACGGAATTAACTTTTGCTCAGCATAGGCTAGCCAACGTTGTCCCAGAGCCACAGGGTTCGGATTAATGCTTAAGAAAACAATTACGTTTATACATCAGAAATTAGCATAGCTATAAATAAAACATACCCAGGACTCGGATAGCAAGTAGTTATAGAAAGTCGATCTTCCAGTGTACCGGCATCAAAAACAGCTAGACGTTCATGAAATACAGCCACCAAAGACGAACGATTTGCGAGTACATCAAGAATTGGATTTTTGAATTTAATCGTCTTCACTTGCTTTCCAGTCTTAAGAGATACAAAATTTAGGGTACAAAACTGTGGCTGCGTGGAAGCCGTACCGCTGTCCACTAATGCAATCAAAGGCCGTTTTTCGGCAAAAGCGTCCATCGTTTCATCAGCACGTCCATGCTCATCCGTAAATCGCGTAGGACCAGGTGTCGGCAGGACACGCAACGTCGAGACAACACCATGACGCCACGAGAGTACTTCAATAGCCTCGCCGTTTGCCGGTATTGCCCACACTTGTACACCAAGTCCATAACCGAGTACTAATAGCAATGGCGGAGCCACATGCCCTTCCATTTCCCAATCAGCGCCAAAGCATGGATCACTTATATCAGCAGTTGTCTCAAACCTTGCCCATATTATTGTGTCTTTGGGCTCAGTGTGCGACTGATGCGTCACCAACGTTACATCGCTAATAAAGCCAATGGCGGAGTCCAGAATCGATCGATCACTCACAACCTGGGGCGGAACAATTGCAGGCACAGCTATGCCATGGGACTGGCGTCGAGGTGAGTCCGCAGACATCTTATTCCAATAACTCTCTGCCGAAGTTGTGCGCAAAGTAGCACAGAACTCCTAGAGAGCTGAATATCCAAGAGCAATTTGTAATTCGATATCGACTTCAGCAACTTTTTAATCCGAAGCTTTATAGATCTATATGTATTCGATTATCGTATTGCACGGATGTATGTATGTATATATAACAATTGTGTGTGCAAAATCGCGCTTTCTGAAATTTTAAAATATATTGTAAAATTAAAAATAAAACAAGCACATGCTTCAAAGATTATAAAAATGTGATTTTATATTTCGAAACTGTATGGTGGAAAGTGTGTTCTAATATCTATTTGATACACAAAAAATTATCACGGCTGTATTTTTTCCTGATATATTACATACATATGTTCCATTTAGTTAAACAATATAAGAATATTGTAGTATGTACCACAAAAACGTATATTTTCTATAAAAGATCATACCTCAGAAAAAAAAACTTCGCTATTAGAGATTTGGGTTGATTGTAGTTCAAAGTGTCTCTTTCCCAGTAAAAAAGTTTGGGAGAAAAAAAAATACCCTTTTTGAGAAATTAAATTTAAAAAAATTTGCACTTTTTGTTTATTGTTAAATAAAAAATTTTAAATAATGAAAATCAATAATTATATCATTCTATCTTGAAGTGACAAGAATTACTGACATTTGAGTAAAAACATTGTTGGAATCTATTAAATTTTGACAAAGTTATGGGCATTTTAAAAAAACATTCTCACTGTCAATTCGAATAATCGATTTTTGCCTGAAAAACAAAATCGCGTTTAATTCGGCCGAAAAATTTTTCCGAGCCAAAAGAAAAAATACGTCTCATTATTTGGACCAACAAACAATATATTTGAGTTTGGTCGAAATTAAAAATCATGCTCGTACCTGACCGGTTGTCTGGAAATGGAAAGCATCTCCTGTTTTTGAATTGAGTTTTCTTGAAATAAATTTTACTCAATGTAGCATGTAAAAATTTCATACACTCAGCGAAGCGGGTGAGGGCGATCTAGTATCTAATATATCTGACTCATGAACCAAAATTTTAAGTTGGGTACACATTTTTAGAGGTTGCATCGGGTGAACAACAATTTATCGATTCGAGAAATTAATGCGCTGATGAAAAAACGAAAACTCATATATCGAGACGATAAAGTGGCCGCTAATCTAAAGGTTAGATGAGGAAACGGCCCTAAAAGTTGTTAAGCTTGATCTGACTTTTTAGCAGTTTTTTTTATTTTATACATATTTTACACATATTAGGTCCCTGATTCGGATCCGGCGTCAATAAAGTATATACATAACGGACTTTCTATTTTTAATTCATCCCGAATAGTTAAAAAAGTTTTAGGTATGCAGGTATCTATAACCGTGCCCAAGTGCTAAAAGGAAGATTTACGGGCCTTTACGCGTTGGCGACGGCGAGTACCGCAGACGATGGGACGATGAGCTGTATGAGCTTTACAACGATATGGACATAGTGCAGCGAATTAAAATACGATTTTTTAATTATATGGTTGGTAGGCGTGGTCGCTATTCGATCTTGCCCATTTTATGAGGTGAAGTTGTTAGTCATTCAGACATAATTTGTGCAAAATTTCATTGCGATATCTATCCTAGTTCTTAATATAATAATTAAATTACCCTAATAGAGTAGATTGGACCACTGTGCAGCGTGTGGAACAAACCTTATGTAATAAACACTACGATATAAACTACAAAAAAAGTATAGATGGGTACACGAGTTATACCATTAGTTAACATTTATTTGAAAAGTTCGCCCTACTACTATTCTTTTGACAGCAGCTGTATATGCATATGTACATACATACATACATATAGCCTATACTAACTGCATAGTTAGAGTGACCATTCGTGCCGCTGAGTTTTTTTTTAGGTCGGGACGTCCCGATTTTTAATATTTGTACCGATTAAGTCCCGATTTTCAGTGTTTTCTTTATTCATTTATTAAGACTGTCTCTGTACTCTGGGCCAAAAAAAAATTCGTACAAACGAGGCAGCACTTTCGTTATCACAAAAGCCATAGAATATAAGTAAGTCATAAACATAGCCAGCATGCTTAGTAGTAATATAATTAATGAAGTTATAAAAAATAATACTAATACCCACGATGTAGAGAAGAAAGGTGGCGCCCATCTCGGTACCGCTATTCCGCTCTCAGAGAATTTGACAGAATTGCTGTTTGAATCACGTCACATTTATGCAACTTGTTTACGTTTCTCTTGCAAAATTTGCTCTTGTTCTCCCATTCTTGTTCGCGTTTTGGCATTTCTCTCTCACAGCTGCACAAGTGTGACGTCACGCAAAAATTATTCTCAAAATTCCTCTCTGATGGGCGCAATCTTGTATTCATCATTCTTGACTATTGCCCTCAAAAAATCGTGGATATGAAAAACGTAGGCTGTAGCTAGAGTGACGAAAATATAAATACGAAAGGGACATTTTACCTTTTTAGGCTATTCCCCTTTCGATTATTTAATGTTTACTACTTTTTTATGAAAGTGTGGCTCGTTATCTGACAAAGATCATGTAAGTCCATGGTGAAATAATAATGTGTTGTCACCAGCGTTACAGTAATGCCTACTCTATTCATTCCAATTTCATTTCTGGTCAAAATGGTGTAGACAATTTTGTGAGAAAAGTATGCGTAGGTATCACTTACTACGTTTATTCGTACGTATTATTTGCAAATAACAATTTGCAAAATGGTAAACTTTGCGGTATTAATGCTGAGTTAATTTTTTATTTGCAAATAACTAAATCACGCAAATAAGTATTGATTAGTGGTACTATTTGCAAATAAGCGCAAGACGCCGCCATTCTTAAGGCGCTGGCCCAATGCAGGCTTGCCTTGCACGTCTTGCTTACTTTAATTTGCTTTGATTTACTTCAAAAACTCGTTTGGCCAAATGGCGGCTTGGAACGCTGTCAAAGCAACCAGCTGTGTATGTAGTTAAAAAGTCAAGGTATGTTTCCTTACACTAAGAATAATTTTGCCATAAAATTCCAGAAAATTAAAAAAAAAAGAAATACAAAATAATCTTTTCAGATTTATTTTTAAATGAATGTGAATTAATTTTTGCATTTCAATGGAATGATAATAATTATACATACATATAAACCTATATGTACATTTATTAGAGACAAAAAACTGGAAAAAAATACGATTTTTCAAGAGACGACTTACCAGTAGTTTGACATCATAAATATCGCTAGCTTTGTGTGAAAAGTTCATAAGTCTACATTTTATGAAGCCTCAAATTTTGACATATAAAGTAAGAGAAATTAAGGACTCCGGTACTTGTTTTATTTCTTCTCGTTTATATTCAATGAAAGATAAATTTTATGAGTCCAAAAGAGACCCCGAATATGGAATAAGGCCAAAATAATACGAAATTTTTTAACAGAGATCGAATCCTCGCAAAATGTTGTATTCAAAGTTCCTGTAAAATTTGTAAAATTGGACTTAGCAACTTTTCACTTTAAGCCAGCGACATGTTAAGTATAAATATGGAAACATAGATTACTTTTTATTAAACTTTGAATTACTAATATTATACATATATTTTTTTAAATTACGTAAGACAATTTTTGGACATAAAAGTCTGCAGCAGTTTGTTTGAATTGATTTAGAACGGGAACATATTTTTTTGTCAAAAGCCTACGAAACGCTTTCAAATAAAACATTTGCCTATTTGAAACTTTGAGGCGCTTAAAGCAAGTGAAGACGTTTTAGTATATTCCAAATAACTTTTGACAGTTTTCAAAGCTAAGCAAGCAAAGCAAGCCTGCATTGGGCCAGCGCCTTTAGGTTTATTTTCTTTTCCGATGGTCATCTTTTGCCTTTTAATAATCAAAACGTTGCCATTTTAAATTGTATTTTCATTTTCGATGGTCATATTATTGCCTTTTTATTATCAGGCAATATTAAAAAAGAATAAACAGTGAGTTAGGTATTTGCAATCATTTTTGGTAAAATATATACTGTATATATCCAACTGATTATTGAAGCAGTGCCTCAGATGGCTACGATAATGCACTTTGGTCTAACAATTTAAACGCATAATTTTTTTATAATATAACTGATAGAATTCAAAAATGTAATTTTTAAAAGTTAACGAAAGGTCGTAATAAAATTTCCTTTAGAGTTAAGATATTTAAAAACTAAGTACGCATATACATGTACTTCAGAACCATATATGTAATACTCCTATATTGGCAGTAAGAGCTAGTACCGTCCGAAAGCACTACAGTACAGATATATCAATAAACACGTACGAAAGAAAAGGAACACATACGTTTATAAATAAACATGTACACAACACATATACAAAAACGGCACTCAAGTACACAATACATTGACTAAAACGGTACTAGACTGTCTCGCTTTGATTTCGGAATGCTTACACATTGAGAAGTTAGCTTACTGCCAATATAGAAGTGTTACATATATGTTCAGAACTAAAGGAGAAAATACAATAATAAAATAATAAAATTCCATATGGGCTAATATGTCATTGTTAGTAGAATTTAAGAAATCAAAATAACGGTATAATTTAGTTTGTTTTAATATGAATAAATGAAATACGAAAATAGTCGTCTGCAGTTAATTCCCGAGTTGATCCGGATCAACGCTGCCGTCTGTTTATGCTTTAAGTGACATCACCTTATATTAGGTTTGTTCCACAAGCTACTCGAAGTCACTTCGAGTTCCACATACGTTTGAGTTTCGGTCGCTTAACAAAAAATTTTGCATGTGAAAGCAACAACAAAGTTAGCTAGCAAGGATGGACGATAGCGAGTTTGGTTGTACCTCATTGAGTTCGTTCGTTTCGCCACTCGCTAATTGTTGGCGAATCGATGACGGCTATAGTAAGTTATATTTTATTTTATCCTCTTTGTTTTGTTTTAAATAAAACTATATTAAGCCTTTTTATTCTAATAACAAAATTGTATGTTCGGATTCGATGCTTTAGAAATGTCCCGATTTTTGGCACCAGAAATCTGGTCACCTAGTAAATAAATATGTACATATGGTCACCTGTGGGGCTATTCTCAAACGATAATAATGCAAAAGACGTAACATCTCGTAAATGAAATGAAAAAAGTCGTGACTAATATTTTATTTTATTTTTTTTCATAAAATTATGTGGGGAGATGTAATTCGATGAAATCCATAATATAAATGAAAAAGAGAATATGGAATTTTTTATTTTTTATTAGTTACGACTTTATGCATTTCAACGCTGATGTTTGTTGCGTGTTTTTGCATTTCTGGTGACGATATGTACATACATACATATATCCGTATACATACATATGTATGTATATTAACTTTTATAGGCATATACCTAAGTATATACACACACTTTTCAGATATACATACCCAGCAAACACAGTTTTGAATGTTTGAGAAAAATTTATTTCTCAATTTGATATCAAATGTTTTTCTTAAAGGATTCTCAAATTGAAAACAAGGTTTAGATTTTACATTTGAAATTCATTTGAGCTTAATTTGAAGAAACATGGCAAGTGTCAAATGATACGAAAGTGCGCAGTTCAATCAAAAATTGTAAGCCTAAAATTATAATCGATTAAAAAAACATTGAACACAAAAAAATATGCAAAGAGAAAGCCCACAAATAGTCGATTAGATGTTTGCGCGGCTTTGCATTCCTTCAAGACGAATTTATTAGAAATTACTTTATCTTAATTTTTTCTATAGTTATGCATGTACATCGTGAAGAAGAAATAAATATGAAATATACATTTTTTATAATAAATTTTATTTCCACATTTGAAGTAAAATTTAAAAATAACCTTTGAAATTGATTTGAGTTTACCATATTTTCAAATGTCGATCAAGCTCCCTTTTTATTGAGAAGCCGCTATTTTCAAATCAATATCAAATCATTTCAAATCGTCTGACATTATGGTTTGCTGGGTATATACATACATATGTATGGATGTATGGTATACATAAAAGTGTATTTGTTTGTAGGTGAGCAGCTGATTATTTGAGTATATATGTACTCAAATATGCGACCTGACCTTAGTATTTGTTCACTGCAGATCCATTTCCTTTAATTTCCTTTACCTCAAGTTATATACATACATATGTACATCCCTAGGGCTTAATTTGACACGCCTTTTTCTTTCTTTGAATTGTATAGTCCAACACAGCCATGATACTGATCTGCGTATTCCGATTGTTTACAATTTTTTGTAATTTCGACGTTCGTTTGTAAGTGTGTATGGATTTCTTACCAAGAACTTTTTAATCTTAGATATTTGTTTTCAGCTTCTCAGTATACTTTGAACACTACCAATTACCACTTAAAAAATTGCACTAAAAGCACCTAAACTCTGCTTATTATTTGTTTGCGTACGACTCGGATGTTGTGCACAAACAAAGAAAAAATTACGAAATCGAATATTTTTGCTCTATTCGCTGTTCAACATTTCCTTTGTTAGTATTTTCATTTCTCGTCTCTTCTTTATCCCTAGGCAGGATTGCCAGATTTAAAAATTTATCTCCGAAAAGGTTTTCCAACTTGACTTTTACGGAAAATCTAAAAAAAAAAATATACAAATTACCAATAATTTCACTACAAACCTTCATGATGGCCGTATCGTCACTTTGGGAAATGTTTAGTACCACTCACACCGTTTTTTGGGTGGGGGGCGGAGGGGGAGGCGGCGGGGCCCCCAAAACACCCCCCAATAGAAAGGAGACAGTCGCCGCTTTCTAAAAAGGGGAACCCCTCCCTTGGACTCCTCCCACAGGCACCTAGGGAACCGTTTGAAAAAGGGGGAAAAACGGATTTTTCTTAGGCAAACTGAGCAGTTTGAAGTGGAATATGACCCAACTAACAGAAACCGTGGGATTTTTTAATAAAAGAAATTATGCCAAATTAGATATGGGGGGATTTTGAATAAAGAATAAAAAGTTAATTAAAAATAGAAAAAAAAAAACAGTTTTTATAAAAAAAAAATGTTCTTTTTAACAAATGTATTTTTGCGTAGAATTCCTTTCTACGTAAGCGGCCTTCGGCCGCACTTAGGGATTATAACCCTCAGGCAGTAGAATTCTCCTTTCTGTGTTGCCAAAGAAGGGGGGCTGAACACCTTTTGCAGAGAACACCTTTCTGCGTAGGCGGCCTTCGGCCGCACTTAGGGATTATAACCCTCAGGCAGTAGAATTCTCCTTTCTGTTTTGCGAAGAAAAGGAGCTGAACACCTTTTGCAGAGAACACCTTTGTATATTTTTAATGCTGACGGGGTTATATCCTATCTTCTTTTGTCTCTCATTCTTTTGCATATTTTGGAGTTTGACAGCTGAACTCCGCCATTTAATTTGCATATGCAACCAAAGTCAGACGCGTGATTTTGAAGGTGTTTTTATTTAATGAATTGTGATGAATTGGTTAATATTAAAGTCGTAAAGCAAGTTATAACAAATCAAGTAAAGTGTAAAGTGAAGGGGAATACAAAAATATATTGGTGAAGTGGCTAATTTAAGCAGAATAGGAGTGATAAATGTACGCTAATTTCCGAATTTTACAAAAAAGGGCATATTTCAAACCCAATTTGTAAATAAATTAGTAACCAAAATTTACAAAAGTGAGTGTTAAAATATTGCGTGGACCCTTGACTACAAGTGTGTGAAATTTTTTTTTTTGGATCGGGCCACCCATTTGGACGGAATAGCCAGAAATAGTTGTGAGCGGTACTAAACCCGACCCGTCACTTTTACTGACGAAGGTATGCAGTTTTATAGCTTATTAAATTTAAGAAGGTAAAAGTCAATACGAAGATGCTAGAAAATCGCGTTGGTTTTTAATATTTTTTTTTGACTGGCGGTGCTAGGCATTTTCTTCTATACAAAAGGCACAATCCTAAGATAAAACGTGAGTTAAGTAAACCCTTACATGGCTTCTTATATTTTCAAATAACGAATATTTAATATGGACCACATTAAAATCTGCTTTTCATATAAAAATTCGTACGTGTCCTACCCGCAACAAACGTTGTCCCACCCGTGACAGAGGAATTTCGGATTTTTTTATAATAAAGAAAATTGCTTTCAAGACTTGACGTGTCTGAAAGGGGGCTTATAGGTATTGTCTTCCCAGAGAGTGCTGCCTTATTTTCATTTTGACGCATTTCAATATTGATTCTTTTACTTTTAGCTGGCATTGCCTTTTTGTTTTCAATCAATTTAATTTTTTAAATTTTTCAAAACAAGAGAACGTTTGAAAAAAAGTGTGAAATAAATATTTTGAATTTGTATAGATACTAATCAAATGTTTTTTTTTTTGGCTTTTGCAAATTAAGTAAATTCTCTGCAAGGTTCCCTTAAAATTCGTACACATATATGGAATGTTGTGTATGAAAATATTCCCTTTCCCTAGCAGTAAACCTTTAAGTGTGGGCAACTATATTTTTCAAATAAGGCAGATCGGAATACGCGTTCTCTGGGAAGACAATACCTGTAATTATTGTACCATGGCTTTCTTACGTTAAATTTTGTTTTAATATTGTTAAATCCTATTGACCTTTCTCGTTCTCAAAACGCGGCAGTCTGCGATTTCGGCACGACGAAAAGAACTGTGAATGTTGGAATAAATCGCTGCAGCAAAATCGTATAAGTGTGTGGTTAATTTAAAAGTTTTAAATTAAAACTATGGTCGGCATTGTCGACAGAATCGCATAGGTGTATGCGACGGCTTGCTACGTCCAACAGCCACTTCAATTCGGCTCGATCACATCATTTGCAAAACTTGGAAAATACATCACTTTTACTATCAGGGTTATAGTCTGGCATCATTAATATCAGCGAAAAAAACACGAAAACAAAGCAGCATAAATGGCATAAACGAAACAAAAGAGAAAACGAGTACATGCATACATGGATACAAGCACACACATACATGACATATACATAAATATGAGGATTTTTTGCTTACAAGTTATGACGCAGTTTGGTAAAAGTTTTCAAGAAATATGCACAATAAACCAAGCATCTAGCAACCAATGTTGTTTAGTTTAATTATTTGATAATGCGCGATTATAATTTCTATTCAATTCTTGACAATTAGTTCCTGCAATGGTATGAGAAGTCACCTTTGAAGCTCTTGAAATTTCGCAAATACTGGCTTTTACTCAGCTTCAGAGAAATCCGATTTTATTTTATTGCTAATATGCAATATTTTATATTTAATCACTGAACCGACTTTACTATTGTTACTATTTTCAATTCATTTAATCTGCGCATTGGGATGTAACGATACAAGTAAATACAAGTGCATACTCGATACATTTCTTTAAAATCCGAGGGTTTTTGGTGTCGATACTTTTGGGCCAAGCACCGAGTATTTATCGAAAGGAGGTACTCTAAAGTAGCCATTACACGTGGCAAGTGCAAGACATTCTCTAAAGTCTGTCAAGTCAGTACAAAAATGCAGCGAGAGCGTAAAAGCAAAAAGAGCGTAAAATTGAGAAGAGAAATCTAGCATAAAAAGTTATTGAACACAAAACTAGTAAAAATTGCAAGTGAACAGTTGTGGAACTCATTTGACATTTCTGCTGTAAACATTTTACAATTTATAAAACAGTTTTAGGGCCGGTTACTCAATGTCTGGTTAACACTAATCTCCGGTTAAACATAGTTATCGCCGTTACCGACTCCCTGTTATATGCATGGAGTCGAAGTCGTCGATAACGATGTTTAACCGCCGATTAATGTTAACCAGACATTGAGTAACCGGCCCTAATATTTTAAAATATCGGAAAACATTTTTTTTAACCTCTTATATCTTCTTTACTTTTTATTTGCCGCAAATAATATTTAGATAAAATCAGCGTAAAAAGTAATATCGGTCTGCATTTTTAGTTTTCCCATAGCGAACGGTTGGTTATCTTGATGTGTTCCAAAATTAGTCAAGAAACATTTCCATGTTTTTCAAAACATCGGTGATTTGATTTATCATCGGATTCGTAAAAACATCGACGAACATCTACCTCATCTACCACACAAGGTCTGAAATCTACCAAGAACGATAGAATACAAGATTGCGCATTCCCGCAGAATGACATTTGTGGCAACGAGTAAACAAAGAATATGGCGAAGAACAAAGAGTTGACAGTTGTGAATTTGCTGTGAGAAAACGTGTTCTCTTCTCGATTCACCAATTTCTCAAGCCATCTTTGAATATAGCAGTTTAAGCACTACGTTAACAAAAAATATGCAACCACTCTTGAAATGTGTTCAAAAGAATAGGTCTTATAATTAACTATTTAGAATTTTTATGTTTGTATTGCAGGTGCCGAAAAAGTGATAATATCTTGTCGCAGCGCATGTTTGTGAAAGTAGCAAATTTCAGTGCATCTAAAGTTTCTAAAGCTTTGTTACTTTTACTTGAGAAATATCAAAATCGGCAAATCCCAAGTAGCGGTTTCTGGAACGTGCCATATTTGGTCGCTACATCGTGATGTGATAAAAAGAAAAGCTGGCAGCACTCCGTAAGGTTGCAGAAATCTTCCAAAATATGTTCGAAAAATATCTTGATATGGAAGGAACTGCTTTACACTGACAAGAAAATTCCCAAAACTCAACGCAATTTTTAGCATTTTCAATCATGCACTTTATTATGCTAAAATTAATTTTTTCTAGATTCTAATAAAAGTATTTGCACTTTAGGTGAAACCTTGCAGCATTTTTTTAATTTTTGTACAAAGTTTGATCCAAAACCTGAGATCTACCATATTTTTTTGAAATCTGCCACATTTTTTTCTAGATCTACCACAATTTTTGGAGTCCGATCACTTGCCACGACCATCGATGTTGCTCGATACATCGATGTTTTTTACATCCCTAGTCTACTTTTGGTTATTTTCATTCTCATTTACAATCAAAGGAATTAATGGCGGATAAGTTACCAGCGATTGTGCCACCTTCTAAACCATTCCCTGGTAGATTTCGGGCCTTAAACTTTTTATATATTCCGTATTATAAAAGCGTTATTTGGTAGATCTATCTAACTTTCTTAAACAAAACCATGTACAATGCATACACAAGTTATTTTAGTCGTCATGTATTGTTTTTATTATAGGTTCGCTTACACCCGGTTGGAACGATCCGCCTCCTATAAATGATTCTCGCCCGGCTGGCCGCACGAAACTCAACTTAAACAAGAGAGTCGCTTTTCCCGTGCAAACCGAAAGAATTGAGCAGGGGCCTCCCCTAACAAGCTTTGGACAGTCGAATATACCACCAGTGGGCAATATTCCACCACCGCCATCATTGTTGACACATTCATCTCAAGGTTTACACACAGCAAATCCTGGGAAATAATCTGTCAACGTAGCCACTTGGTAAGAATTACTATTCCAGAGACCATTTGTGTATAAACTTTCAAGTAATTATTTAAATATTGCTTGTAAATTAACCATAATTTGATAAATATTTAAGAAATGTTATTAATTGAATAAAGGTTAATCTAACAATTAATTAAGAAATATCTTTAATACCAAAAGAATGGAACTGTTATATTCTGAAAAGCGCCGAATGCCTCAGGAATGACAGAATACATCGCTACATCAGGTGTGGAGTAGGGATGACCGAAGTTTGGCTTCCGAAAAGTATCGGGTAGTTCGAGGCTGGCACCTTTCCAGCTTGAAAGAACGAAGACCAAATAATTCAATGGCATGCTTCTCTTTGTCCCTTGAGTACAGGGCACTCAGAAGAACTTCCGTCACTCTTCTCCGGCAACACAAAAGAGAATTCTGCTTAGTAAAGTTTGTGATCCCTAGGCGCGACCGAGGGCCTGAGCAGATTAGATGCAGATGTGCGCAACGAGTGCCCGGCATGCGGAGAGATGCCCCACGGCTCGAGACATCACTTCGCATGCTCACTAAACACGCCTCGTAGAAGCTGCACGCTTCCTGGATATCCCGTTAGCTGAGCTTGACGATAACGATTGAGGGACTAGCCGATCTAAGCAGGGTTGAGTAGCCGCTGCAACAGCAGCAAGGAGGGTGTTCAGCGCAAAACTACTGTGTGCAGCGTAGGAGGAGTGAGACTGATAACGGTTATTTTTGGTCCCAGCAAAAAAGTGAAAGAAAAGTGTTTAAAAATTGACAGAAATTTTATTTACCGGTTACAAAACTTTTATTACCAGCGCAGATTAGACCTGTTAAATCCCAGTTATGCATACTTGCACTGCTATACCATTTTTACGTAAAAATCGAATCAACAGAATTCTACATGTCTGATTAGCACAAATCGGAGGTAGAAGTTCCGGTTAAGTACAACGACTGCTTTATCGATCACATGTTACGTGCATGATGTCGAAATCGTCGATAATGTAGTGGTAGTGATAACCAAACATTGCATAACCGGCCCTAATCATCGGTTAACATCGTTATCGACGTTTTCGATCACGTAAGAACACATGAACCAAAAAGACAAGATCACGCGGGCTGGAGACTAGCCCGTTAGAATCGCATTTAGGAAAAAAGTTGAAAAGTTGAGTTTGTTTACATTTCTTCGTTGTTTACAATTTGGTGGTGGCTTTTTACTGCAATTTTCTTCATTTTCACTTGTGACAACGTGTGTACACATAAGATAAAGAATAATTTAACACAACGGCATGATTTATAGAAGAATTTGCATAATAAAAATGATTTTTCATACGTTCAACAATTTCGCGGTTTTTTCCGTTCTCTTCGTTGTTTACTTCTTACAACAAAGATGGCGTCGAGATTTCGGCAGCTAGAAAATAACTTTTTTCGTTTTTTCCTTCCCGCGTGATCTTGTGTCTTTCGTTCATGATAAGAACAAGAGAGTGAAAAAAGTCGATTTTTTTAGCGGGATCTACGCCATCTTGTTTCACTGGAAAACGAGCGAAAAGTAAACAAAGCAAAGAAAACAACGAAAACCAAAATTAGCCAAAATTATTGTCAGCCACTTTAAACGCACAATTTAGGTAAAATGATGCATCAAAATGCTTTAAAATGTGTTGTCATGTTGAATTAACTCTTCTTTACTTGAAAGTGTAAAATAGTGGTGCGTGTGATGTAAACAAACGCTCAGCTGACGAACCCGCTTTCGCAAACTTTTTTCACAAAACTAGTTACAAATACAACGTCGCGTTCTTACGTGATCTTATATTTTTGGTTCATGCCTGGCAGCACTGCTTCGCCTTGGATTTCGTCTTGTTCGCCGCAATTGTTTGAAAAATTGAAACTTCAAGCGTCGTTTGTGTGGGTTCGGTTTGTGTATAATAATAGTCCATAAAATAAATATAGCTTTCCAAAGTTTTGCAAAGGAAGTTAAATCCTGCCAATTTGCACTAGTCTCTGCAGGAAAGCGTCACAATTGATATGTCACATGAGGTTGATCAAAATAATACTCCTGCTGTCCGGGTGATTGTGCGCGAAAGGCCCGCTCGAGATTTGCAAGATCCGAAAGAGGGGGAAACAAGTGTGATTTCCTACCACGAAGGCAGTGCTAATGTGAGAGTCTTGGAAAAAGTTAACATTTGTAACAATTTGGTACTTTTAGATATTAATAGCAGATGGCAGGCCTTTTATTTTCGATAATTTGTTGGTCCCAACGGCTACTCAGGAAGAATTATTTCTCCATGTCCGTCCCCTGGTTGGCAAGGTAAAAAATGGGTATAATTGTACTGCTTTAGCATATGGACAAACAGGAACTGGAAAATCTTATTCGATGGGACTCAGCTCAAACGTATGTATCCGGCAGTTTATTAGTATGAGTTTCAGTGGTATTTAAAAACAACTTTTGTAGTCTTCCGAAGGTGAGCACGTAGGAATTATACCTAGGTGTTTGTTGGAGATATTGAAGACAAATGTGAATGAAGATGTTTCCAGAGCAGACAATAGTTTAATTCCAGAAATCGCATTCGAAGTGCATGCGTCTTTTATTGAAATTTATAACGAAAAGGTTTTTGATTTGCTGGGCGAAAACACTGCGGAACCAATTATATCGCGCGGTTAGTACTGCAAGTGTCTTCACACAATTTTACTTACACTATTTTCTTTAGGATACAAATATACTGGTGGCACCCGAAAAGTTCTAAAAAACAATCGACGATTGCTATAGTGTTCTCCAACAAGGCAATAAAAATCGGCATGTGAGACCTACTAAAATGAATCCCCAAAGTTCACGATCACATGCGATTTTTACGATCCATGTACGCAGTGCGTCAGAAAAGGGGGATCTTAACACTAGATTGAACTTAGTCGATTTAGCAGGTTCGGAGGGAGTGCGTAGAACGGGCCATCAA